TGCCTTATCACACAAGTATCATTATGTTTGCATACTCTTAGATAACTTGCTAAAAATATCCAGTCATTCTTTTATCTTTCTCTCTCTTTCTTTCTCTCTCTCTCTCTCTCTTTCTCTCTTCATCTTTTGTTCTCTCTCCTTTTTTTCAGTCTCTCTCCCTCTTTCGTTTTTATCTTTTATCTTTTTTGTTTTCTCTATCTTTCGTTCATTCAATGTGTGTTGTTTAATTTGCACGTGCATACATTTGTTTGTTAGCAACACATGTGCAACACAGTAAAAAGGCTGTAGTAGTAATAATAATAATAATAATAATAATAATATAATAATAATAATTATAATAACTATAATAATAATGTGTTGTATAAAGAAGAACCAGGTGTGTTTGCGCGTGTGTGTGTGTGCCAGCGTGTGTGTGTTGTGTGTGTGTGTTTAAAAAAGAGAAATTGAGAAGAAAAAAAAGGAAAAAGAAAAAGGAAAGAGAGAGGGAGAGAATGCAAATGAGATGAAGCGAAAGAAGCGAGAGAGAGAAAGTGTGTGTGTGAGAGAAAGAGAGAGAAAGAGAGAGAGAGAGAGAGAGAGAGAGAGGAGTGGTCGAGTGCGTCATTCATTCAGCATGTCAATTAAGCTCGCATGCAATTAACCTTAGTCGTGTCTTTGTTTACGCTGTCTTTTCTTCTTCCTTCTACGTTCTCTCATTGTATGTTTCTGTTTTCGTCCTTTTTTCGTTTGTTGCTGTTGTTGTTTTCATGTTTGTATCTTTGTATTTTTTCTTTTACTTTTGTTTGAATGTTTACATGCATTTTCGCTATCTCTTTTTTTGTATTTATATATCATACATACAGACATACATACATATATGCATATATGAGTTCGTGTTACATTGTTTTAATTAATTTCGTTTTGGTATGTAGTTGAATTCACGTGCTGCATGGTTATGTGTGTGTGTGCGTGTGCGTCCGAGTCCGTGTTTGTGTGTGTGTGTGGTGTGTATGCATCATCGTGTACACCACACATGTGTCTTCATTCATGTTAAAGCAATATATTTATAGATTTAATTTTTTAACTTATGTTCTTTCGCAGTTTGCATCAAGGCTTATGTTGGAATTTGTTTTTAAAAAGAATATTCACTATTGCATATCTTCTGTGGTTTTGTTTGTTTGTATGTAAAGAAGCGTGGTTTTTCATTTGTCTGTGCGTATATACATTGTGTTAATGCATGGATATCTATCGTTTGAGATCTGTGGACAAAGGTATTTTTTACAAGATATTTTTTCCTCGTGTTTTCTATTTTTATCTTCTTTATTCGTTTCATCCTCCATATTTGTTGAATGATTTTGTTACATCTTGCTGTTCTTCGGTGTTTCGGTAACGTAACGTAACGTAAGATCCTTGTTCGTTCGTTCTGCTTCTTATTTATGTTTCCGTTCGAGCTACGTGCAATTGCAGATGATTTTTTCTCTTTCTTTGTTAGTTTTTGTGAGTTTTTCTATTTATAAGTATGTATGCTTGATATTTTTGTCTGTGTGTTTGCGTGTGTGTGTGTTGTTTTGTATGCACGCGTCTGCTCGTTCGTTTGTTCGTTGTTTGTTTCTCTGTTTGTTTGTTTGTTTGTGTTTTAAGCGCTTCGAACCTCAACTGTTAAATAAATTTAGTGGCAATGAACATTGAAACAATTTTTTTCAAGATTTTCTTCCCTTTTAGAAAAATAAACAAAAGATTTTTTTTGTTCGTTTCATTCAAACCCTCAAACACATCTTTTGTTTGTTAATGCACGGTAAGACTGAAAGACTGAATGTTATCTATCTAGTTGTTTGTATGTTCGTTTGTATGTACGTTTGTATGTGTATTTGTATGTTTGTCTTTGCTTGTATGTTTGTGCTTGTTTGTATGTTTGTGCGTGCTTGTTTGTATGTTTTCTGTTTGCTTGTTTGTATGTTTTTTTTCAGTTTTAAGTTTTTTTTTCGTTCGTTCGTTTGCTTGCTGTTATAATATAGATGGATGTCTATCTCTGATTCGTAATTAACCGATTGGTTGAATTAGTCAATTAATTGATTGATTAATCAATTGGTTAATTAGTTGTTTGATTGATTAATTAATTAATTAATTAGATAACTATTTAATTAAATGAATGATGGATGGATAAAATAATTGGCATTTGGTTGGAAAGGCTTGATTGGTTGATGTTTGATGTTTCTTCATTTGTTGGCATTGGGTTTGTCTTGCATAGAATCGGTTTGTCTTTGTATGCCTTTATATGTCTGTATGTTTGAATATTAACCTTTGTATGTTTTTTGTATGTTTGTATTGTATATTTGTTTGTCTATTGTACAATATTTGTATTTCCTAATGCATAAATAAATGCCTACCTCTTATTGTACTTCATATGAGGAATGTTATTAATAGAAGATCATCATTCATTGTTTCTGAAACATTTGGTATGTATTTGCGTGTATGTATGTATGTGTGTGTATGTATGTATGTATGTGTGTGTGTGTGAGTGTGTGTGTGTGTGTGTAAGTTTGTATGTATATTCTGTAGGGGTTATATTAATGGATTGTATTTTTGTGTAAGTTTTTGTATTAGCTGGTATTTCTAAGTGAGTATGCTTAAGTATTTGCTATGTACGCTCTAGTATTTGATTGTATGCGTGTGTACGTTCGGGTATTTGTATGTGTTTCTGTGTGTGTTCAGTTTCTGCGCTCATCAGCACGCATCCAGGCGGAACTTCCTGTTGAATGCGTTTTGAAATTCAAACTTTTGCCATGATGATGCTTTCTCATGATGATGATTACGATGGTGATGATGACGGAGATGATGATGATGATGATGAAGGGTGATGACGATATATAGCCGCTCTAACATAAAATTCTAATGCTGAGCTACCTGCATTGAAATGATTTTAGTTGTGATGGTGAGATTGAGGAGGACGATGATGATGATGATGATGATGCTAAAAATGATGAAGATGAAGAAGAAGATGATAAAAAGGATGTGAAAAATGAAATGATGATGATGGAGAAGTTAATAATGGTGTTGTATATGTTGTTGATGATAAAGATGACACTGTCGAAAGATCAGACGGATAATACGTTACGTTGATGATAATAATAATGATGATGAGAATGACGACGATGATGAAGATGTTGGTTGGAGAAAATGATGCTGACGATGATAGTGATGTTGTTTGAGAATGTAAATAAAACATCATTAGCATGCCATCATCATCGTTATTATCACTCTCTCTTTCTCTCTCTGCTGGTTGTATAATCCTCTTTACGTTTATGCTTTTCTCCCCCTTGGTGCGGTCATGATGATGATGATGTAATGATGGTTATGATGATGATGTAATGATGGTGATGATGCAATGATGACAATGCTGCTGATGATGATGATGGGACGATGATGATGTGGTAATGATGATGTGGTAATGATGATGTGGTAATGATGATTATGATAACGATGACGATGTTAACTGAATGATGACGACGACAATAAGGAACGAAAATGATGGTGATGAGTGATGTCAATGATAATAATGATGATGACGATGACGAAGACTGTGTTTGCAGAATTTATTTTATCGAGATGATGATGACGACAATGATGATGAAAACCATGATGGTGATGATGAAAACCATGATGGTGATGATGAAAACCATGATGATGGTGATGAAAACCATGATGATGGTGATGACAGCGGTGATGAAGATGATGGAAGCGGTGGTGATAGTGATGGAGAGGCTGATTATATCTTTATTTATATCATATTTTTTTTTGCTTTTAGTGAACTATTTTTATTTTTTTCGTAAATAAATCTTTGTATTTTTTCTTCTTTTTTTTTTATTTCTTTTTTATATCTGTTTATTTCATTTTTTCCTCGTTATCCATCTTCCATTTTTTCTCTTTCCCACCATCTTTATTTTTTTTTCTCTCTCTTTTTCAACTTTTCCATCTCGCTTTCTCATTTTTAAATCCTCTCTCTCTCTTTCTCTCTCACTTAACCATTTTTTCCTTTCTCTGCCCTTTCTTCCATTCTTTTTCTCCATCTACGTACAATTCTTTCTCAACATTTTTTCTATATATAATTTCTTTCTCCTTTCTTTCTCTCTCTCTCTCTCTCTCTCTTCTATTTCTTGTATTTGCCTTATACACCACGGGCAGATTTTTTTTCTCTAAATATAAACATCCGGCATGGAAACATATTTACAAGGTGGCGATTTTTTTAAATTTAATTTAAATGTTGGAAAATTAGTTCTCAACAAGCATTCACGTGTTTCCATATGTTTCTGTTTTAAATTTGTATGTATGTGTTTTGTATCTGTATGTTTTTGTTTGTATACGTATGTATGTGTTTTGTGTTTGTGTTTCGTTTTGTATTTGTATTTGTGTGTTTTTGTTTTGTATTTGTGTGTTTTTGTTTTTTATTTGTATGATTTTGTTTTGTATTTGTATGTTTTTGTTTTGTATTTGTATGTTTTTTGTATTTGTATGTTTTTTATGTTTTTGTTTTGTATTTGTATGTTTTTGTTTTGTATTTGTATGTTTTTTGTATTTGTATGTTTTTTATGTTTTTGTTTTGTATTTGTATGTTTTGTTTTGATGTTTGTTTGTTTGTTTGTATTCTTATTTTGTATAATTTCATCAAATAGTTTAATTCAATATAGAATAAATCGTAAATCAATTAGATTAAATTAGGTAAATATTTACTCTGCTTAATTTTCATTTTGTAATTTATTTGAAATGATTTTTTTTTCAAAATTTATTTGCATACCAATTGTTTTTTTTTATAACTTTTAGTAATCTTTCTAGATGAAGTTACTACTACTACTACTGCTGCTGCTACTACTACAACAAACACAACTAATACTACTATTACCACTACTAATACTAGTATTATTTTCACTACTAAAACTACACCACTACTACTTTTACTATAAAATTATTACTACTGCTGCTAAACTGCAACTACAAATACAACTGCTATTGTTGCTACTACAAATATGGCTACTAATACAAGCATTATTTTTACAACAACCACTACTACTGCTACTACAACTACTATTACTGCTACTACTAATTTACTACCACTACTACTACTTTTACTAAGACACAAACATCGCCACACGCACACAGGCTTACTGGTTGTGAACGTTACATGGAGGGGAAAGACCTACGTAGGGACGTTGATGGATGCCACACGGCACCATTGGGCACCTCCGAGGTTTCTCTTTTTCCATTTTTTCCCAGTTTTTCGTTGTTTTAGTTTTTTAACTTTTTCATTTTTTACGAGTTTTTATTAAATACGTGAGTAGTGTGGCTTATTGTCAAAATGGGGCGTTCTAATCAGTTTTATGGCGTGTTTATTAATCAGATAATTCGCTGGCATCGTTCTTATTTTTCAACAATTAATAGTTTCATTATTTAAAAGTTTTTTATGAACATTAAACACTTTTTGACCATCTAACCGCGGAGCGTTCAATAAAAACTTCTTTCTCACGTCGCCACAGATTTTCAGGGGACTCACCCACTAGTGACATCGACGGTCGGACGCAGAAGGGCCGAGGCAAGAGGGGGCGAAACAACTCCATAGCGCCACCGCCACCAACCTCCAGGAACGACAACGGCAGCGACCGCAAGTTACGAAGCAACCGCAACGGCGGGAATGGGAAACAACAGCCAACGGCTCCAAGTCCTGTCAGAAATTCAGACTGCAGTTCGGGCGTCATGTCGTCAAAGAAGGGACGAAGCGACATCTTCTCAGGATCGGCGAAAGACTTAATGACCGGTTTGGTGTTTGGGCGAAACGGTAAATCGAACTCCAACAGGTCTGATCTGAGGTCATGTGCCTCGGAAAATTCCAGTCAAGAAGATGGTTATGCCGGCTCTGGATCTGCTCTTATTGAATGTCCGGAAGAAAACTGCAACAAAAAATTTAGAAATTCAGTAGGGTTGAAGTACCACCAGTCGAGAAGCCACCAGAAGCGGCCAGGCACGCCAAGCAACGTTAACGATGCTAACGCCTCTTCCGACGATAGCAGCCTCAACAATGGAAGTACTACAAACGGCGCTAGTACCACCAACAACGTCAGTAACAACCACATCGCTAAAAATAACAACACTGTTGTTAATTCTTCATCTGCAGCTAATAATGAAAATAATGAAAAAGCGATGAAACTTGACGAAGCTGATAACTTCAGCAGCATCAGCAGTAGAAACATTGTCAGCGATTCAAACGTCACTAACAACAACAGCAACAACATTGCCAGCTCTACAAATTTTAACTACATGGATGTCGATGCGCCATCCAACACAAATCCATCCTCTCTACCATCTCAATCTGTTAGCAGCTTATCTAACAACAACAACAGCAGCAGCAACAACAACAACAACAACAGCAGCATTTGCAACGATGTTAACCAACAGTACACTCCATCAAAGCCCAGAGTCTCTAAGATGAACGCTCTTTTCCGCAACCAACAAATAACGAGAGAAGAATCTTCAGAGCAGTACCATTATCACCACCATCACCATCATCACCTCCCTCACCATACTCATCGTCATCATCACGATGCTAAAAGCGAACCGGCTCAAAACGAGACGATGGTCAGAAGCGATGTGAATATTGATGGGGATCTTGATAAAACGTCACCGTCATTGTCGTCATCGTCTACGTCATCGTCCTCGTCATCGTCGACGTCATCAACTTCACCGACGTCGTTGTCATCATCCTCTTCATCGTCACTACTTACTGGCTTGTCTGAAAGCACAAGGTACGGTTACAACGGCATCAGCGTTAACAACAACAACAACACCAACAACAACTTATGCACTAGTAGCAGCAATATCATTTCCGACAACAACAACATCAGCTACAGTAACGCGTTGACTGGTAGCAACAACAATAATAACATTAACAATTACAACATCAATAATAACATCAACGAACGCGCAAATGAAAATTTTACAAACGAAATTAACGTTCCCAGCAACAATTTCGGCGCTAGTTTCATCGTATCTAACTCTTCTTACATTCCCTCAACAGCGTACAACAAAAACAGCATCCTTAATGCTGTGAATAACAACGAGTCTAGCGCCAACCCAATCAGTATAACCGCCTCTAACAACAACAATAATTGTAACAATAATTTTAGCAATAGCCAAATAAACAACAACCTCAACAGCAGCACTGCCGATAGCAACATTCTTATTACCGTTCATGGTTCTCAGTCCTCTTCACATCTCCAAAATAAATTGAACGACAGCTCTAGCAGTAACAGTGGTATTGGTAGTAACAGCATTGAAAGTAACTTCATTACATCTAACATGAACAGTATTAATAGCAACATTGGCTTTGGTTACAACAACACATCAACATCGACAGACAAAACAACAAACCAACAACATCGCTTGCAGCAACATCTACAGCAGCAACAGCAGCAAGGAGAGAACATTCATTGCTTAGGAGCTGCATGCAGCGACACGGTGCCACCATTCATCACTTCTTCTCTCATAGGTGGAACGTCTGCAGTTGCAACCATGACCACAACAACGACTACATCAACAACTACAGATAGACCAAAAAAGAAGAAACGAGATCGTCAGCTGCAACAACAACACCTACAAAATCAACAACTGCAGCAACAAAACGATTTTTCTCAAATCGGCACAGTTTCTGTTCCTATGGAAACTGATGACATTTTAAGAAAGAACAACATTATTAACAATAGCATTATCATCAACAACAACAACAACAACTATAATAACCTCAGCAATACGTTTTCTCCAACGTCTTCTATTGTAGTGTATCCAGCAAACATGTCTTCATCTCCACCGACGTCAATGATTGTCACCTCGGCAACATCGCCGTCATCATCTGTCATCAAATCCACCTACCGGTTGAATACACTTGAAGCTGGTGATTCCTCAAAGATAGAAGTAGCTATGAAGTTGGATGAAAGTCCATTCATCATCCGCTCGACCGTTACAAGCGGTCCCTACAGTCCATCTGCATCGACGTCTGCCAACGTAACTCAACAAGATTCAAAGTACCATGAATATTCATCTCAGTACAAACGAGCTAAACTTTCAAACAGCATCTGCGAGGATTCGAAGCCCATGTGCAAAACTCTTTCGGACGTCACCATCTGCCAAGATGCTCCCTCCCCTGCTTACTCCGATATTTCTGACGCTAATGAAAACGCTCCCATGTTAGAAAAAGAAGCAAATCCACCAAGATTAGAAACGGAAGAAGAAAATGTAATAGGAGTTCAAGGATTAGGTTTAGAGGAGAAGACGGCTCAGCTAGATAGAGAAAAACAAAATCAGGAATCTTATGTCTGCAGTCCGTATTACAGGCTGATGCCACAGCTGACGCCTGTCGTGTCGTCTCCTGTTATGAGAGACGCTGACAATAAAATGTCGTTCGCCGATCAAAATAGTGCAAATGAAGTTCAAATTGTTGGGCAAGATGAAAAACATGGTGAAAGTCAAAAGCACGGAGATTCATCAATTAAGTCTACGATGAAAAAGCAGGACGGTTTGAGAAATTCGCCATCTTTGAGAAACAATCTCACATTGGACTTACCAGCAAATTGTTTATCGCCAGCTGTTCTTGGAATGCAAATGCACAAAATGATGCCTGCAAATCAGAATACGTCTCTTCCACCCAGGTTTCCAAGTCCCTTCTATCCTAATCCATTCGGCTTGTTGGATTCAGATTACAAAAAAAAATTAGAGATGTATTTTCATATGCAGCAACAACACCAAATGCAACAGCTGCAAAAATCAGCGGAGTATTTTGAATCAGGTAAGGTGGATTTGAATAAATTAGATGACCAGCCAAAGCACAACACATCCAACCTACCAACTCCCCCAAGTCTGATATCTGACCATAGCAGGATAAAATCTCGCGATGAACTCCAAATGAACAATAGCAGCAACAACACAACTACTAACAATTTTAACAGCAACACCAACAATGGTAATAATAGCTCTAATATTTGGGATGGTTCAAGTCCTCGATCTAGAGAAACTTCAGAATTAAAATCTGTAGAGTCAGGAAAATTTTCTGACAAATACGATAAAAGGTACATTCCACAGTACCACATGCAGCTGCAGGATCAATATTACCAGTCAAGTAACACATCCCAAGGACCTTTGAAGATGAACGAAGGAATGAAGCCGTCAGCCGTCGTTGCACCACAAACAAGAGAAAAGTCGTGGAGTGGCAGTTCTCAGACCTCAAAAATTTCAAACAACAACGAATCGAGTCCAAGAGATAGTAGAAATTATCAGTCCAGTATTAAATACAACTTATCCGGTGGTTATATCGGTAACAGCAATAGCACTAACAGTGGTTATTCAGGTAATTTCTCGTCTCCATCTTCCTCTTCAAAAAACTCATCTCGAGACGGGCGTTCAGGAAGTAAAGACGAACCTAATCCATCTAAAAAAGATGATCTAAATTCGAAACATTCACTTTCTTCATCGATGTCTTCATCAAAATCCAAACAAAAAATGACATCGGTCGAGTCGACGAGCACCCCACAGCCAGCTGGCCTTCCCTTGCCCCCATCTCCACTGCCGATGACAGCACCTTACCCTCCAACAACCCCATTTTACAATCCCTTCCTATCACCTGGTGCAACATTCCCCTCTGTGATGCACAACCACTTCGATCCGAGCATCTTCGGCACTATGAACCCAATGGCAGCGGCCGCTCTACTCCAGCAACAGTCGTACGGGCTCCATTCGTCTCAACTTCATTCCGTGTCGCCAGGTGGCAGGTTGACCCCCCCATCATCAGAAAGCAAATCCCAAACGACTCCAATCCATCGTCATCATCGGAATTTCGAACCCAATGTGTCGCACCATAAAATACACGAACTGAAAGACGTGGCGAAAAACGAACCGGTCAGCAACGGTTCTGACTCGAGACCGCCGTCGTCTGCGGACGTTCAACATTCTTCGGTCATCCAGTCAAATGTGAGGGAGGTAGGCAAGGATAAAGACGAACCGGCACTGCAGAGGCACCTGCACACACACCACCACATGCATGTTCTCGGTCCACCCATGTTTCCCTACATGACTAGCGAAGGTTGATCGATCAATTTTATTTATTCTACTTTTTTGATTTTAAAACAATTTTAATTATTTCATACTAAAGAAAATAAGTATTTTTTATATATGTAACGTGTAAATCGTGATTTTACTAACCATTTAAAACTGAATTTTATTTTTTAATTATTTTCAGCGGCTCTGCTGGCGTCACAACAAGCCCCATCCCAGCTGTCTAGACCGCCATACTTAGGAAAATAATTAACTCTGTGCAGTGTAATTAATAATTGTTAAACAAATTTTAAATATAATATGATTATAATTAGTGCTGATGTAAATTACGTGTCAGTTATAATTAACTTTCAATTGTTTTGATGTGGTCGTCAAAGGTGATGATGATGATGATGAGCATCATCATTACAATTTTTTCCAAAATTTTTTGATCATAATCTGTTTAGTGATTAAATGCAATGAACACACAACTCACACACACACATATGCACACACATGCATAGAAACACACACACACACACATTTACTAACACACACACACACACATACATACACATGTGTATGAATTATTATCAAAGTAATTGCATTGCCAAAAATTTGTTGCCGCTTGCAGATTTAAAAAAAAATTCATTTATTAAATAAAATTTATTTGTAAAAAAAATTATCAAGGGTTTGTTCTTTCTTTGAAATAATTTTTAAATTAAAAACATTGCTTTATTATTGGTATAAATCATTCAGTAGTCAATTAATTAATTCTTTAATTGGTTAATTAATTGATTTATTAATTAATAATATATATATCATGTTAATATAATTTTGCTATAGTTAATTAACGTAATTGGCCGGACTGGTTTAGTTAGTGTTCTTCGCTTGAGCTTATTACACAATTTTTTCATCATTTTAGTACATACTATATTTTGTGTTTACACGTCTGTTTGTGTGTGTGTGTGCCTCTATTTGTGTGTGTGTATGTGTGAGTGTGAATGTACGTGCAATTTTCTCACAAATGTATACAAGTTTGTAACTTAATGAGTATATATGTACGTGCATGCGATAACATAGTTGTATGTTGTACAATAACTTGTGATGTCTGTTTGTATGCCTGCATTCGCACTACATTCCTCAAAAGTAAAAATGTTTTATCGCAAAGTGTGAGTAGATTTATTTATTTAAAGTTTAAAAAATACTTAGAAACTTGTGTGATTTATTTTCAAACAGAAAAAATATGATTTTTTTTATGATTTTTCTTTCTTTTTCAATCAAAGAGACGCGCATATATGAGGAATTGATTTAATTTAATCCAGGAAACCAATTACACGTGCGTGTGCGTGCGTTCTGATGGAATTTCATTCTCTTCGCTATATCTCGTTATTATTATTCATTTATGTGATTTTTGGTCTCTCACTTTTTTCCTCCTCTCTCCCTTCGTCAACTCTCTCCATTCCTGTTACATTCTCTTTTTTTTAATCTTCCCTCATATCTGAGTATCCTACTTATTTTTTCTCATACTAACGCACACACACACACACACACAAACACACAAACATACACACACACACGCACATATGCAGTTTATAGGGTTCTATTTATAAGCATTTTTCTCATCTTCAAAGAAAGATATTTACACACACACATACGTACAGACAAACAATTTCTTCCTTTCAACTTTTTTAGTATTTTTTCTTCATTTTGTTAAACTTTTTGCTAAATGAAAGTACGTAATTAGAATTTTAGAACAATTTTTCTGTTCAAACTCTCTCTCCTCTCTCTCTCTCTCTCTCTCTCTTTCTCTCTTTCTCATTCTCTCATTTTGTTTTTCTTTTTGTTTCTCTTCCATTCTCTTGATTATATATTTTTTTCGTTTATTTTTTTAAATTTCTTTTAAAAGATTAGAAGAAAAAGAATGGATTAATAGATTTCATTTTGTCTGTTTTATGTGCGTTCTTTGTGTTTATAAATTATGTACATTTATTACTAAATCATATATATCCTCATATAGAATGTGTATGAAAATGTTCAATTCTATGTACAATTATAGAATTATATACGAACCAATAGGTTATACCACATGTTTGTGTTTGTTTGTATGTGTTTTTGTTTGTATGTGTGTTTGTATGTTTGTATGAATGAATGAATGTATGTTTGTTTCCTTGTTTGTTTCAATTTTCAAACATATGTATATACATTTGTATATAATATATTTAGTTTGTATGTGAGTTCTTTTTAAAAAACACGAACAAATACTTGATACAAAGACATTTTTTCTTAAGAACGTTATACGAAACGCACAAATGAAGCATAAATACCGTTCGAATACCTTTTTAATACCTAAAATGTGTTTGTTCAGATATTATATAAATGGATTTTAAACACACACACATACACACACATTTTTACGCACACAAACACACACACACTTTAACACACCTACATTCATCAATTATGCTTATTTTTGTGTAAGTTAGCAACTTTTAGATTATTTCAGGGAATTTGCTTGTATATTTAGTTTATATACGTATATATTTATATAAATAAGAATATATATAATTGTTATAACATTTAATTAGATATATAATTACCTACGTACTTAATTAATTGATTAATTGATTGGTTAATTATACAACCAGTCTTGTTACATTTGAATAATTGTTGTTGGGTGTGTGTTTGTTTGTTTATGAGTATGTGTTGTGTGTGGACGTGTGTGTGAAACGTGTGTACGTGAGTGAACGTGTGTACGTGTGTTTTTAATGTTTTGGACAACAACAGAATGAATTAATCATCTGAATCTGCACAATTTAATTGACTAAATGAATTAATTAATAAGTAAACATGAAAATAAATGAATACTTTAAAAAATAATAATGTCATTGTCTTGTCATAAACTTTATCATTATTAACATCATTGTCGTTGAAATAAATTTTAATAGCGATTCTTATGTATATTTTTTCATAAAATTTATTACTTTTTACATTCGTTTTGCTTGGTTTATAACGTGTAAATATGTAAAAATTAATCGATACGATGATTTCAACTCAGACATATTAATTAATTAATTAATTAATTAACTAATTAATCAATTAATATGACCATGATAATTGGATATTGTATTAGTGGCGTTTTTCCTTTATTCTCATAAATACTATGGACAATAGAAATGATTAGATTAAACCGAATTTGTCGTTTTTGTGTTTTTAATGTTTCGAAAAATTAAATAATTAAAAACATTTAAAAATCTTTGAGATTTCGATTCAGTAAAGTTCAACCGCTCGCAAGCATGAACGAAAGTTAAATGAAATCTAAATGCTGAAATGGACAGAACTGGGAGAAACGAAACAAATTTGAAAAAAAATTATATTGAAAGGATTGAAAAGATTGAAAGTATTCAAACGCTCGCAGGGATCCAGCAAGCAAAACTGAGAAACTTGAATCAAATCTGAAAGAAATTGAATTTTTTTTTTTTATATTATCATTAAGAAAGAAAACGGATGTCATAAAAATTGATAGTTGTGAGCAGTGGCGTATCTAAGGGTGAAGCCAGTGGAACCTCTCCTGTTGTGAGCCATATTTATATTAAAACTCGTTAATAATACTGTTTTCGAACGAAAATGCATATTATAAGGCCAAAAAAAATTGAAAAAAGTCGCCAGTCTAGTTTTGACCACATTACCACAATTAAAAATGCTGCCCCCCCCTCCCCGGTCAACATTTGAAGAACCATTTGTTTTATATTTTATATTTTTTAATGAGTTTAAGTTTTTTTTATAATATGTATATATGTAAATATTTTTTAATGGTTTTAAGCGTTTCGATACCATTGATACCGCTCGCAAAGTGCCAACGGACAAAATTGTGGAAAAGGTATGAAACAATTCAACCATAATTCTCTCTAGTAATAATAGTAATTCTTGCTCTTCTTGTTGCTCTTGACTTTATCTTTGCTTTTGACACTGTTGATCATACTATTCTCTTGAGGCTGATAGATCATTTTTTTAATAATACTGATTCTTGTCTATTTTTGTTTTATTCTTATTTCTTTAACCGATTTTTTTCTGTTGTTCTTAATAATTCTATTTCTAACTCCTCTACTCTTACTTTCGGGGTAGCTCAGGGTTCTATTCTTGGCCCTCTTTTTTTCCTCTATACTTCTGAATTACCTCGTAGTATATCTCAATAGCGTTCTTCACAATCTATCTCTATGTCTTTCTTCAATCGCTTGGTCTGTTACTCGTGTTAAACATTCTTTTGCTAAATCTGCATTTACTTTTTCTGCCCCATTTATCTGGAACTCTCTACCTTCTTCATACCTTCTCTGACTTCTTCTCCATCACGTACGAAGTTCAGAGCGGATCTCAAGACCCATTTGTTTGCAAAATTTATTGAGGAGCGATGTTGAACATTGCGAAATAGCGCTTTATAAACTAATTGATTGATTGATTGCAGATGAGATTTTATTGAATTTTCTAATAATTAATCAATTATTAACTAATATATATTATAATTATTAAAAAAAAGTTTCTTGACACATGAGTAGAATTAAAATGACTTAGCGTAGAACATTTAGGCTCTCGTAAACACACCCCCAGTTCTTGTACGTAAACAACATTGAAGTCCCATCTAGTCTGATTTGATGTCAATTTGTCGAATAAATTATTTAATTTTCGCGAATAAATAATTTAATTTAAATAATTTAACTTGAATAATTCAATTTAAATAATTAAATTTTCGTATTTCAATCCAGTAATTAAAATTTTTCCTTGTCTCAATATCAATTATTTATTAATTAATTATTAATTTTTAATTAGTAAAAGTTAATTATTTCATTTATTCATTGTGATTAATTAACTAATTGATTAATTTTGTTTTTTATTTTTATTGTATTTTTTTAAATTCAATTGAACTACCAAGGTTTATAAACTTGTAATAACAGATGT